GACAACGGGTTTTCCAAATTCAGTAAACCAACCTCCTTACCTTGTAGAAGGCCAGTGAGATAGGGGCCGAAACTTTGGTATTGGTCAGTCATCCGATTGCTCATATTGTTGGCGTTATGAGAAAATAATAACGCATTTTTATTATTATTTAAAATAATGGATAAATGGTTTATTATGGTATATTATTTGTGATAAATGGTTTATCATATAGTTTATTATTTGCGTAAACGGATTGCTTTTATGCTGTTTTCATCTTGTTTTGTAAATAACTGTAATGTTGTTGACTGAAAACGGTGTGTTCCATAAAATGATTCATCATAATCAGTGATCAAGGATTTTCTATCTGTTTCGGAAGAAAGAAGATGACAGTGGGCGGATGATATCGCACGACTGACGGAAGGCAGATGGACCTCAACGATGGCTGATGATATCCAAGGGGCTGCAGGAGCCCAATATGAATACTTCGACTCAGATGAAACGATGATCTAGAAGAAAGATACGGAAGCTTATGGCGGTAAATCACACGAGACCGACTAAAATGAACATCGGTAATTTCCGTTGATCAAATAGAAAGATCAATGAAGGAATTTCTTTCAAAAAAATTAACGGCGCAACTGATGAGTTTTTTTGCTTGGGTACGAATGTTCATCATCAGTACAAAATAGCTTCATCGTGCGCTGAAATGGTAAGAGTCACTGTTCGACTATAACCAGAACCGTTTCGCGTATTGACAGGATCATCTTGAAGAATATCGTTCACTTGGCAGCATCAGCTCTGTTTTGTGCATTGCGATGACATGTTAGCTCGCTGGCGACGATGACATGACGCTTTAAGAAATCGTTCATGTTTTTAGAACAGTCTTCTTGCATTCAGACTCAAGAAGCAATATCATAGCACTGAAGTTTATTACCGTACACCCTACCTTAACAGGACTCTGAGGAATCTGCAGGGGTAAAAACGTATCATTGCATAAAGGTTCCAGTCGCAACGTTCCAAGCATTGAAATAGTTCCTTCTGGCAGTATCGTTTACATTCTACGGAGATGCTGCTATTTGGTGGTTTCAAAGTTTCTTCTTCACTGCCTTACCAATTTTGTCATCGTCATCGTAAACGTCGCCATCATCATCATGAGAATCGGATCAGTGAATGAACCAATTTAGCGATCATCGCAGATGGGAGAAATTTTTTTGAGCTGAACTCAGTGACATGTGGTATGCTATGCCCAAAACACTATCAAAAGCACGTAACAGGTGTTGAGAGAAAATTTATAATTTAACCGTCTGCTTGGAAATGCTAATGCAGTAGCAGATTGTTCTTTATTACCATTATTACTATTATTCTATACTTTGTTTCTGGTCTGTTTTTTAAAGTTTTTTTGTTATGTTGCACGGGAGTTCGTTGATTTATAGGTGATACATGCTGCACCCCAGGGTTTGCAAAAGTTACTAGAATACTTAAAGACGAAATACCGAATGTCTACGTAAAGTCAGTTCGCATTGGCAACACTACCAGTGACGATTTCGTTCACAGCTACTTCGGCAATGTCAATGAACAGGTAATGTCGTTCGCTAAATCATAGTACTGCATGAAGTAACAACTGTCTGCTTTTTGGTGCCCATCTGTTCTGTCATTCAATGGTTTGGCAATTAATTGAAAATTTGTGAACATTCGTGCTTAGCTGGTTCGATTAGGGACCGACTGCTGATTTGAGGTCAAATGAAATACGCAGTGTTCAAGCTGCAATAATGGGACATTAGCCAGTCGTAGCGAAAGGTTACAACTTTGGTAGGAGCAGCGAATCGGTTTCGTCCATTCCGGACAGATTACCACTCTGTACGGTAACAAATACAGAAACGGAAATTACTGTGTTCTGGACACATTATGAGCAGTAACGGCGACGCGACTATCTGGAGTAGACAATATCTCGAAGCTTGAAACAGTATGGAAATTGAGTAGAACACCAAGATATCGCTGAATTCAGATATCAACCAGTCAGTTAATCAGTCAAATTGTCGTACTACTATCATTAGAAATACCGTCTGTGCACAGCGGTCGTCGTACACAGGACACAGCGAAGGATCTCTGACATTAGCTAAGATCGGAAGATGCAGCGCTGAATAAAAACAGCATGCGATCCAACTCTTGAACGGAGGACGACAGCATCTTATATTTCACAATTTTATGAATCTGGAGGGTTCACATAATTGCTAACGAAAACAAGCGATATTTCCCTTTTGTAAGTCATACAAAAAATTCTGTTCATCGTTTTGTCCAACTGTTCTAATTTCATTGCTATTTATTCCTGACTTAATTAACGCTTGTATTTCTTTTATTTACGCTGGAAAGCAAGGTTCTTTGGCGATCTCGGCCAAAACATGCGACTATGAACTGAGTAAGGATGCTTCATAAGGGTACTATTTCACGTAAATCCGGAAAGTTTGCAGATGATTTTTATTCTTAAAGGCTGCATCGAAAATTATTTGTCAGCACTTGAACAGGCAGGAAACACTAGAAAGTTGTTAGCAAATATAATATAATATTACAATGTATATGCATACAACAGTATTATAATTGTTTGCTACCAATGATTATTTTGCATGCCTATAGATCGCGGTATATCCATCAGGTTGGCTAAATAAAGTGATGATGCTTTGCATTTATTCACTCCAAGTGCTACCCCACTTGGTAGGCTAGAAGCCAGTGAAAAGTGCGACTATGCTGCGAAAATCCAAAGAAATGACAGTCGATTGCTAACGAAGACTGAGTTATGGAACTTTCTTAAGATTCATTTGGATCATTTGCACTATAGATTTTAACTTTTTTTATTCTCTGAAGCATGAGCATTATCGATGTTTTCGAATCATTGCCGCATGAATGCCTCTCCATCACTTTGCCAGAACCCTCTGCTTTCTGTGATTCTTATGACCTTATCTCCAGTGAACTTCTTCAGGTCATTCTGCCATCGATTTGAAGATCTTTCTACGATCAGTTTATTTAATCTTAAATTCAAACCTAGTATGTTGCTAGGCTAGCGGGCCCTGTGCACTGCCACTTCAACTGCCTGGGCAGTGAAATCCGTTATTAATCCTGTTCAAGCTCTTATCCAATCATTTGTCTCACTATCTTGGTGTGTTATGTTATTCCCAACATACATATTTCCATGCAGTGTTGCGTAGTCTGGGCTTATGCGTAGCTTTCACACTTTATTATGCAAATATTAATCGAAAAGTTTTCGTTCCAAACACAAGTATCGTTTCCTGGACTTCTACCATTTTCAGTCCAAATATTTTCATTCTTCTAAAAGTGTTCCATGCTATTTTACTCTTCTACTGACTCTCAAAAGTATCAGCTACTATATGATATGATATATGCCATTTATGTATATGCAAAGTTGATCGACTTGATGAACTAATCTGCATCATTCTTATATATTAGATAATCCAGGTTTGTAAGGAACTTGCTGAAGATTCCAGATTTGCAAATGGATACAGCGCAATTGGTTTTTCTCAAGGATCGCAATTTTTGTAAGTTTTTATAGTAAAGAAATTAATTAAATTACTTTGCTGCCTTCAGAAGAGGTCTTGCTGAAAAATGTTCCGTTCCACAAATGAAGAGGCTTATTTCTTTTGGTGGGCAGCATCAAGGTATTCATACAGGTTTTTGTATGGCACGTTTTATTTATAAATAAAATTTATTTGGTTCGGGGTATTGAATTGTTTCCAAAGTCATTAATCAATTGTTGAGACAGTTCAGTTGGCAGAACTCCAGAATCACTGTTGTGAAATCATGGATTTTAATCTGATTGATTATTTTTTCACCTCTTCAGTCCCAACTTCTGTTGTCATGTTCCGTTCATATGGATGATTTGGTGAATAACCAAGATTGGAGGATGGCTTTACTTCAGATTTTCAGAATCTTGTCATCCAGATTGGGAAAAGACGTCATTTTCTAATGTAATCGTTCAAGGGTTTTTCGGATCTTCAGTCCCTCTTTCCATTAAGTCGCTATCTTCATGCAGCATACGGCCAAGGGGGTCTGTCTGCTTAAATGAAGGTCCATCACATAAGCTGCTTAGAGGTTTATCATCAGGTGTGGAGGAGGGGGGGCACACTGCAAATCGACAATCGAAGAGCATTATTTTCATTGTTCAACTGCAAGTACTTGACAGACTAGAATTCAATGCTTGAACGGTCCTTCCCTTACATACATGTTCTTCGAACGCTATATTCATTCGTGTTCACCATCAGCAAGTTTCACATTTGGCGCTCCTGGTCGGGCAGTTCCATCGACCAAGTCGATGATGTGGGAGATAGTAATTGTCAGACATCCTACACAGTTCAGCTGGTAGACGGTGTCCTGTCATAGCCAGTCGATGCAATCGATCAGCGGATGATGGAGAACCGTCGTGGCTGAGCGATGCTGTTGATCATCCGGATTTACGACCGGAAATTTTATGACCGATTTGAGTCATTCATTATCAGGACCAAACCTCTCAGGATTTAATATGGCAATGGTCGCTAAGGGGACACCGTGAGAATAATTTTTAGCAAGGTCTGTATGGCTTACTGTATTCTGTTTAGAAGAAAATTTTTCATTATGCTTTTAATTGGAAACAGGGCTGACGGACTACTCGCAATGCTTCTTCCTCGACTTGCGATCGACATTCCTTCCCATAGAAAAGCTTCTTTGAAAAAAACATATAAAGTATGAGAAGTTCAGTCAACTCCATAAAACTTCATTGTTTTGAGGCAGACAAACGGGTATCGCTACATGTAAGGGAAGAAAGAAACTGTACTTTACAGCGTAAAACCCTACCGTAGATATTATGCTTAGGAAATGGCGGCAAAGCGGAGAGCAGTGCTCTTCCATAAGTTAGGATTATGATTTACCGCTTGACCGGCATCATAGATGAACACAATTTTTCAGCATTGGAAGAAAATTCATCCGCAGAGGAAAATGAAAATAGTTGGCACTCCGTGATCATCATCAGGCTTTTTCGATCGACTCCAGGAAGAAAGACTCCGATGGCTAAATTTGGTCACTCTGTTCTGTCTTCTGCGATTCTTATCCGCGTTGCTCAGAAAATAATCTTTCGCGTATCCAGTCTTTGACCTAAATGTCTTCAAAAGAATCGTTACTGTCTCTTGGAATCCAGTGTAATATCTAATATCTCTGGGGTCCATCGATGGTCCGTTCTTCTTGTAACGAGCCCAGCCTATACCGTATTAGAACACATATAAAGGTACAGATATAACCATATTTTAACAAATCAATGATTACTAAATGAAAGGGAGACAAGAAAACAAAAAATGTGAAAAGTAATGGAGCTGAACAATTTCATGGAAGCAAAATTGTTACAGCGAGCATAGTCAGATGGAGCTATTTGACAGTCCAACGAAATGATTTTTGAGAATGCGACTTAATGACGGTATAAGTGACCTTCGAGAGGGCTCCGTTCTCATAAAGATGCTGATACTCGGGAATCTAATTGAAGTATAGTAGATCAGGCACATTGAAAGGCTACAACATAAAGAATAGGAGGAGTTTTATATGTAATTTTCTCCAGACGCACTCCTTGTGCGATCGCTGAGTCCAGAGCATCATTACCGGGTCTTTTAACTATAACTGACACATTTACATAATTTTTAAGTCATAAACAAGCAGCATAAGAAACACAACAGTTACAGACAGAATGCATGACAAAACAAAGTTTCTACATGCTGATTGTGGCTCCTGCAAGTTGCTCAGCTTCCTTACATTGAAACAGTTGTGCCGCGAGTTAACCAGTTTATGAAAGCGCATGAGAAGCAAATTCCAGCTGTTCCAGGAATTCGTTTCCTTCCTTCATGCGTTGGCATTTAATTAACATGTACAAATTTGACATGTTTATTTCCGAAGACAAGGTGAGTCAGTCTGTTTGAAAGTTGTAAGCGAGTATGAATCTTCACAGTGTCTATTTGTTTCCGTATTGATTTTCCAGGAGTCTTCGGATTGCCAAGGTGTACATTGAATTATGCCGCGTGTAGGACGATCAGAAAATGGCTGAAATACGCCGCGTATTTGCCGTAAGTCCTCAATAAACAGTAGAGCTTTCACTTTGTGATTAACTGATTTTAGGCGTGTACAGAAAAGGTACGTAAGGGCGGTATTTTACAAGGCCGAAAAAATTGACCGTCTGGAACAGCATGCGGTTCCTACTGCTTTATAATGATTATGAGGACATTTTTTCCGATGCGTATGAAATGACTGTATGAGGAAAATGTGCTCTGAGAAATAAGCAGTAATATCAGTATATATGCAATATTTAGT